GACGAGCTGCCCGCGATGATCTTTCCGCTTTGAAATAGAAGCAAGCGTTCGACGCTGCGTCTACTTCCTTCCCGCGAATTTCCACGCGATGGAAATTCATCCCTGCTTTGTTTTAATTTGCATACAAACTCCCGGTGTTTCTATGTAAACTACGCTTTATCTTATCGTCATCGTCTCGCGGATCGCCCCTTTAAAGGACCATGCAGTCGATGCTTTCACTCCCAAGGACCCCGAGTTACTTTCGACGCGGAAGAAACGACGCCTGTATCGACGCCGCGATATCTCTGTTTCCTCCGTTCATTCGTGTCTCTCTCCCTCTCTCTCTTTTCGAGACGTAGTTTCCGAGGAAATAAGGAGAACCTAATAATACCAATGGAGAAAGTCGTTCGTCGAATCGAATTACCGTTCGTGGCGAAACCCCGCGCGAATTTACACCTTTTCTCTATGAAAATGCGATTATTTACGATTTGAAAAAATTTTAGCCCTTTAATGCGATTTCAAACGAAAGAGGAAGAACGACGAGAAAAAGCTGACATAGGAAATCAGCATAATGGTTTCACGGAATTGGGACCTATGTAAATGAGGCACGAGATGCATGGACAGCTTGGAAAATGGGGTAAACGAATGACGAAGGCGGAGAAAGGCACAGGATGTTTTAAATCGTACGAAAGATAGTTGGGAATCGTTAATCGAGCTTTTTCATCCTATTCAATCGCGTATGATTGATTGATTCATTGTGATCATCGTATCGTAGGATGCCGAAAACAGGTTTTATTGTCTTCAACGTACAGGAATTAAATATCTACATGTTCCTTGTTTAATCGAAGGAATAATGCGAACATTAAATTCGGGAAACTAATTTAACGCAAGAAAAGAATACTGAAATAACGAAACTTTAACACACGGAAACACCGAACCACTCACGCCCGTGTCGGTCACGATCTATTTCTACGAGGACTCTTCAATGTTTCTTCATTCAGAACTCTGCCTGTGTCGTCAAGGGTCCTGTTTTCATGCTTGTCGGAAATCTCGATGGCGTGCTTTTTCCAATCGCTAATTGGCTACTATGGTTCAGCCCATTGGCGATTTGCTCCCATAAAAAGCACGTCATTTTCCAAATTCGCGATTCTCTTTCTACGACGATTAGGATTTCGTTCACCTGCGTTTCACCTCCCCGTAGAGACCACGCAACTTAGTTTTGCTATCAAAAATAGCCTTTCATAACGGTATCTTTTTCCATTTGCTTCCAGAAAATGTCACGCATAGATCATCGATCGGTTTATAATTTGTTTCATCTAAAATAAAAAATTTCGAATCGGCAATGGCTTATTCGCGATTTCTTTCCGGAAATAGTATCCTACAGATTATTCGTTATCCCGTTGACGAGGGGTTAAAAGGAATGCATGAAATTTTTGGTTTTGCAACGATCGTTACGCGTCGTATTCATTTTTGGGTAATTTGCGAGTAAATGTTGGCGAACAGAATAAAAACGTTGATTACCAACGGCGTTAATTACAGTGGGAGCTCGGCACGATTTCAGCAGTGTCTTTCCAGGAGCGCTGTCGTGTCATTAATTGCACGAGATAAGCAGGCGAAACAGTCCTCTTAAACGGTCCAGCCCACGTTTCATTTCCTGATAATTGTTGTATGGAGACTCGAAGGATTAAGAACGGGTCAGTCCGAAAATACGAAGACACTTTTAGAATTCCCGCTGGAACCGGGCTTCGTACATTTTTCCAGCAGCTTGGCCAACGTCACGCCAGTTTACGGTAATGGAATGAGAGGCAAGCGGAAATTGCTTAGACGAAAGAAACGAATGTGGCGTTTCGCGAAAGTTCAAATTATAAGGAGAAAAAACGGAAACCGAGGGAAAAAGGCAAAGAAAAAAGGAAAACCGAGAGTATCCCGTGGGTCGAACAAATTAAGTTGCTCGACATTCGCCGTTCAAAAACAATCTCCAAACTTAATATCCTACCACGAGTTTGAACCTCCCTTCCTTCTATTTTCTTCCAACAAAGAATGTGTCTCGAAGAGAGGGGGGGAGGGAGAGAAAAGGAAAAAAATGTACGAGGAAATTTCTTCGTTTAGGGCAAACTCGGAAACCTTAAAAACGAATCAGGCCGCGATTGCTGGCAAACTTCGTGGTTTCTTTCGAGCAAAACATTCTTGACCGAATTAGCGAAGAATCGGCAAAAATTTGCATCGACTTCCTAAAATCCTGCGGTCGGTCGTCCGGAATTTTATCCGTTTATCACGAAACGAAGGATCGAGCTTGATAAAGTTTACGGAATAAATTATTTAATCGAGAAATTAGAATTTTGGAGTATATAATTAATACTAATCGGGATATACTAATCGATTACGATTTCTCGTCGTAAATTCCGAGACAGCATTCGAGTTCTTTGAAACGTAATTATCGGATTCGTGATTTTAAAGCAATCGTTGTATTGTTCCTTCGTGCTGTTTAAGAAACGTACTATGACACGAATAATTGGTATCGACGAAACTTCTCGACGTGGCTATGGAACGAGAACTCTAATTGGAAGTCGTAAATCTAAAATAATTACCGATAACGAATTGCCTCTTATTACGCGTCGATAATAATTCTAGCAAATTACGTCGAGTTTGAGCTAATTAAAAATGAAAACAATACAGTGGAATAAATAAACCTTTCCTCTTACTTTCTCCTTTTTAATTATAGCTTATTTCGTATTAACTCTATCGAGGGTTTTCAAGACTGAAACTGAGAAAATAAATCTTTACAGGAGAGTGTATGTCCTTTGGGTCATAGATTTAGTTCAAACTGTGTAGATTTGTAGATTTAGTCAGATGAAGAAAGTACTTGAAATATTTATGATTAGAATTTTGTTATTGCCTTAATTACAGATTTATTTCGAATATGTATCAAGTGTTGTTAGGCCACAATGCTACTTGATAACTATCGATAACTATTCGGAAGAAATATCTCAAAAACTATCGAATAATTGCCCTCATAATTGTACATTTTCTTGAACCGAATGACTAAATCTACAAACCCGCAAGGTTTCGACTAAATCATTGATTCGGAGGACTTGCACTCTCCTTGTTAGATAAATTGTTGGAAGTCAGCTACGCCCATGCAACAATGACGACAGGCCTGTTATAGGTTGCAGGGCAATACCGACCTTTGGATTTCGAGGGGTCGGTTTTGGGGGTGTGAAAGGGCCTGCTGTCCCTCGGAGCTCCTCACTCTCAAATCAGCAACAGTACGGATATCCCATACATTGTGACCCACAGTGGCATTAAAAAAGACTCTAGTATTTCATTTGTATATTGCATAAAGTATACAAATTTCACGTATATTAAACCTTCATAAATACAATTGCTGTATAACCGAATACAGTTACTTCCCTGCACGTTAATCATTTGGCTATTTCCTTCACGAAATTCCCAACACAATTACCCAATTCATTATCCACGTATCGTTGAGATATTTCTGTTTATTCTTGGAAGATAATCACCCGCCATTTACCACCCGTGAATCTTCAGCCATGTAAACCGAGGAATCCCACCTTCGTTCGTTACGCTAAATCATAATTGAAGACCCAGATGCCAAGATCAAAGGGTCAAGAGCGAGGCTCTGATGAAGGGCCGTGTATCGACGTACTCGAGACGATTAACATCCGGCCCGTCCCAACGTCGGCCCACTTAACGTAATTGCTAATCCCGCGAGAACATAGATCTCCGCGTGCCAACTTAATCCGTTAACCCACCTGCGGGTTGGAAAGGGCCGAAGAGAGGGCAGAAACAGAGAGAAGCAGAGAGAAGAAGAGAGAAGAAGAGAGGCAGAGACTTGGGTCCGGCTCCGTTAAGAAGATCCTGCGAATATCCGCTTAATTAAAATACGATCCCTCGCGGCTCGCAGCAATGGTATCCCAGCGACGTTGTTGGAATTCATTTGCAACCGCATTTCCTAGGATCAGCACCGATGAAAAAGTTGCGAGCTCGAAGATTTTTTCCCGGCCAGGTTCCTTCCTCTCCGCCGCCCCTAATCGGCGTGTTTTCTTGCTCGCATTTTTCCCTACCCGCGGCGAAAAGAAATTCTAATTAGAAAGGAAACTTTGTTTGGCGAAAGCTTTTTGCGTGTATACATAATGAACGAGCGAGGCTTGTCGAGGGGTGAAATTAGGCGTGATGCGTGGTGCGTGCGTTACCGTAACTCGTGATTAATCGTTTAAATCGGACTGCCAGGTTGCAGCTGCATCGAGTTCCAGGAGATGATAATTTATGCGCAACTTGATCGCTCATTTGAATCGTGAAACTCGTGTATTAATTTATCGCGGCTCCGAGTCGTTTGTTAAACATTGACAGAGCAATTATTTTTCTATTTGTACAATTATAACATCCGATCGGAGTATGGAATCCAAAGGAAAAGTTTAACGAGGTGAAATCGTTGCGAAGGTAGACAGTGTGTTGGAGCTATTCGGATGATATATTGGATAAATTGAATAGCATTACGGCGGCTATGGAACCGCCATTATACCCCTGTCACAGGATGCGAGTAAATTATCGCGAGTATTTTCCGTTCATTCCTCTCGCAACGTTTCTACCGCGAAACGAATAAACAAGGTAACCGAACGAAGGACCAATCAGCACCCGTCGTGCAAACTTTCCCAACGCCTTCCCTCGCAACAGACTCGTTCAGTCTGCGTTAAGCTCACGCAAACACGGCCACGTCGACGAGTGCCATCCACTTAGTCCCATCCAAACCTGCTTTGCCACCGCGGGGCGCGAAATTACCCCGGCTAATTGTTTCTCGCTCGCTGTTGCCAAGAATCGGTTAGGGTTGACGCCATAGAGTGGACCGCGGCGCGTTGCAAACGAGCCGTGGCGCGTTGATCCAATCCGCGAGGGTTGATTTACGGGGAGCAGGTGACATGGCTGGGTAGACGGTGTCGTCGCTGGCCCGTGCTTCGCAGCATTCGCCGCAGTGTGGATAATTCGACTTTTCTCTGCTCTAGGTAAATCGACGGGCCTGGTGACGACCACGAGGGTGACACACGCGACGCCGGCGGCCCTTTACGCGCACACGGCCAGCCGTTACTGGGAGGACGACGGCAAGGTGCCAAGTGGTGCGAGGACCTCGTGCAAGGACATCGCGCGACAGCTGCTCGAGGATGAGCCCGGTCGTAACATCAATGTACGAGATTATGTATCTCGACTCCTATCGCCCAGGTTCCCCCGGTTACCTTGATCCGTGTCGGGTACACGTTTCTTTCTTCGGCTTTCCTCGCGTCTCGGGATACGTGCGCGGATTCGCGATGGGTGATTCGATGGATCGAACCAGCTCGAATTCGGCGGGTCTCTGGAATGTTGCTAGGGCTTGTACTCGAACCGAGCACTCCCTTTGTTCTCGAGAGAGGTTCGGTTTGGGCGATGGGACGAGCAGGACGTGCTATCGCTTTAAGCTTGCAGGGAGATTAAAGTGGTTTTTGCAGACTGAGATTGAGATCCGAGGCTTTTCGGGAGGTTCCGTTATTTGTTTCTTTTCGGGCTTGGTTAGATCCGGGATTTTGTTATTTTATTTTATTATTTATTTTATTATTATATAGGAGCCGGTGGAGTAAATGGGATATATTGGGCGAAGAAGCAAATGGTTTGTGAAATGGTCGTTAATCATAGGTTTATTAACTTACTCGATAGACTAACTTACCGTCTAACAAGGAGAGTGCAAGTCCTTCGGGGCATAGATTTAGTTGAAACTTTGCGGGTTTATAGATTTAGTCATCCAATCCAAGAAAATATATTATTATAAGAGCAACTATGTTAGTGGTGGATGAAATATCAATAACAATAAGAAGAATTCTTTATTAAATTACAAAAGTGATCAAACACGAATATTAAGTATAAATCTAATTAATTTCTCGCGATCATATGCTCACGCCTATTTTCACTATTGCGACTCAATTTCACCATTACGATACACAATTCACACAACACCTTAATCATTACACGCATTTTCATTTATCGCAATAACCTGAATCCATTAGATATTGGCATTCCCTGCATACTTGTCCCACTCGTCTCTTTCTTGTACACATCACTCCTTTATTATATCAACACATATATATTCAAAATCTATGTTAACCATTACCACAAACTACTCTATAGTTTTCGAGATATTTATGATTAGAGCTTTATTATTACCTCAATTACAGATTTATTTCGAATATTTATCAAGTGCCGTTGTGGCCTAATGGCGAGTTCCGAAAATTCCCACGCTGGTAGCAATTTTGTAATATCGCTGTTAGGCTACAATGCCACTTGATAACTATCGATAACTATTCGGAAGAAATTTCTAGTTAAGAATAATACAGCTTTAATCGTAAATATCTCAAAAACTATCGAGTAGTAGCCCTTATAATGATACATTTTCTTGAACCGAATGACTAAATCTACAAACCTGCAAAGTTTCAATTAATTCTATGACCCGAACGACTTGCACTCTCTTTGTAAGTCTATTAATGTACACTTCAGCAACGAAAGATCGTATAGTGACAGGTTGAATGCATGGGGGGGAACTTTAATCAGATACTCTCATCTGAGCAACTATTTAAATAACCTAAATCTATATTATAACAGTTTTTAAGCTGGGATAAGCTTGCAATAAACAAAAGTCTCTTCGTTTCCATATATTAAATATATTTGATAAAATTCAGCTGTTCCCTTCGGCAAAGCTGCAAGCTACATTCCAGTCTAATTCAAATATTCAAAAAAGTAAAACAACGGAATAAATATTTCAGTTCTTCATACGGTCTCGTGTTAATATAATCTTCCAATTCGATACTTCGTAAATATTATATACGATCGAAAAAGGATTATCGCGTCGGCCATCAATATTCGTCCAAAATAAAAGAGAAAATAAAGAAAAAGGGGAAACGAGTGTTTCCCGATTTTTATCCCGTTGAAAACTAATGGATGAACGATCGCGTTACGTTTACATCGGCTACAAGGGCGGCGCAGGGATCAGAAAGCTAAAAATTTTTTAAAATCTCGCATTATATTGGCGCAGAATACCTTGGCTAGGAACACGCTCAGGTAAACAATCTCGCGAATTCGTTCGTCAGTGAAACGAATCGTGCTTCGCGTTTTCGAAATATTCTATGGATGGAAGAAACGCTAAAAATCCGGGATTAAAGCGGCTATTGTCCGACGAAAAAGAGATTTCGGCAGTAACAACGCGAGCCTTCGATCCCGCTATTTATCGACGGTGCTCTACACCGTTTCGTAGTAACGCCGTTGCGGTGTAGAATAAAAATCGACCAGGTAAAAACTTACCGAATCACACGAGTGGCCTACCTGTGTACAGAAATTGATTTCGTGCTGGTTAAAGTAGTTCGGTCACCGTGAAATGCTTCGCTTCATAATACAGATAGTATAAATTCTACAAAATGTACAAATCATAGCGCTCGACCTCGAAAATTTGTCGCCATTTTCGATTTTAGACCATTCGGGATGGCTTCTCGTGGGATTAGGAGAGAGATCGTTGCGACCACTGTTAGAGAGAAATTGAGAGAAATTGAATGGTCATAGGTGGTAAAAGATATTTGTAGGTAATACAAATTTGTAGATAATCTTTCTGAGACTACGTCAAGATTTTTTGAAGAGATTCAGATCTGACGATGTTCGATCGTCGATTATTTAGATTTAGATTTAGATTTAACCTTTTTTAGGTTAGGTTAAGAGATTTTCCATTTATCTGCAATATTCTGCGAATTGTTTTTAAATCGTTTGACTATTCGTTTCGCTATTCGAAATCGTATTTTTGTAACTGGTGATATTTTAATTTCGAATTTTACGTTGCGATTTTAAATTTCAATTTCGATGAGAATATCTTCGGGACATTTATGGAGTATCCGCGTTATTTTTATGATGATCAAATTGCATGATTAAATTTACAATTGATTATAATTGTAGAGGCGAACAGAATGTAAGGGATTAATTATGTAATCGTATTAGTTTCCGACGAAAATGTATCATCGACTTCGAACCTGCTAATGTGTGCTGTTACATATGAACTGAATCCAGTTGCAGACTAACTGAATTGCCTCAAATTTTGAAGATCTTCGAATTTCGATGCACATGCACAAGTAACACTGGAACGAGATTATCACGTACGAGTTGCTCCTTTGTTAGGAACTTGATGTAGAGGCTGAAAATGCGATTAGAAGAGCAGAACGTAACTTAACTCGATGAATAGTCGAGGAACAATGAAACTATTTGATTTAGGAACTGCAACAATCTACTCAATTGACGTAGTTAGTTACGAGATTACAATTTTGAACTCATTAGAAACCTTTTGTACGATTGTAGCCTTCTTAAAATAAATTTTCATTCAAAATAAAAATTAATTAAGAAAACAAAATTGCGTAGGAAAAAATAATAAATTTCGAGATTCGTTACGTTTATTTTATTTAAGATAAACAAAGCGTGATTATATTACACGCAGCACATTCCTCCATTATTATCACTATTCCATTTTCTTCGTCGCTAACTTTGACATTTAATAAAAATATACTACATTTCCGCGAAAGATATACCACGCATTATTTTATATAAAATCAAGAAAAATATTTGTAATATCTCAAAGCAGATAAAATCCCACTATTGCCCAATATGATCACAGATCACCTCGATCGATCACGATTTTCCATAAGATTTCGCCAGTAATCCTGGCACTCGAGTTGATTACGCGTAGTTTACCCAATTATATTCGAATAACACAAAATTTGTCACGTATCCATCTCTTTACTAACTCTATGTCAGAGATCCCCTTCGAACGAAGATCCTCGAACTTCGAAAAATTCTTCGGTCCCCCGCCATTTGCTCCAGACCCACAATAATCATCTCCACTTCGAATCCCTGAAAACGTTCGATAGTTAGCCACGTCCAGTGTGAAGTTCCGCCAACTCTCACCGCGAAACTTCGTTAAAATCGAAGCGAAGATAAGGTCTTCTTGACTCGGTGAAGGAAGCTTCGATCGGATCGACGGGACGGTTCCGATCGCTGGGACGGTCGATACGAGTCTTCTCGCGATACTGCCGCGTCTTTCAGTTAGATCGCGGCTCGCTGGACAGAAGTTGGGATTTTTCGGCAGGTCAATCGGTCCAGGAGGAACCTGAACGACGCTGTCGCGCAGCGGAACCGGGGAAAAAGGGAGATCAGGCCACGCTTTTATGCGGAACTTCCATGCAAAACTTCCTGCTCGTTAAAGTCTGCTTAGTCGGAGTTCTCGAGAGAGTTCCCTGGCTAGATAGAAGAGGAATTAAAGGTCCACGGGGATGACTTTCCCGACGAATTCGAGCTACTCGATTGTTCGATGGAACGCCGCGAGACGGGATGAAACTTATTTCGCTGAATTCTCGATCGCGTCGAGTTTGCCGAGTGGTCCCATTTTTGCTCGTGTTTCTGCGTTGACTCCTATTAGGTCAAAGGTGTTTTTCCTTTGCTGGTGAACGTAAGTCGAAGGGTAACTCGCTGGTGGACCAGGAAGCCGGTCAGAATAAGTCGGGACACGCGTGAAGGCAGATGATCGATTGCTTGGAAAAATTATTCCCATTAGCATTTAAACGTGTGATTTTTGGAAGCGGAATTTTTTAACATTAGGAAATTTTTAATATCGTTTCGCTGTGGTTTCAGTTAGCCTATATTGTTATATTTAAGTAGTACGAATGATGATGATGTAGATATACAAATTTCGGGAGATGTATGTATATAATTTGTATAGAAAGTGTCCCGTGCAATATTCACAAATTTGAAGACCTAGGTTTTGACAATTTTGCAATGTGATTCGGTGAAGAATTTCGCGAACAATCCTGTGAACGATATGAAACCCTAATCTAATAACAATTCAATATTACACCTAAATTGTTCTACTAAATTAATAAACGTATTTGCATAACTCATTTTTGCGCAAAGCTGTTTTATACTAACGAGATTGTAACGCTTCCATACAGAGAACCATTGATATCAACATAGAATCAGTGGAAATTTTTTCAATAGGAAAATATCAAAATAAAATTCGCTCTAATAGGTAAAATATCGCGTCGCGTTTTTTGCGACATTCGTGCATAAAGGATTCGTACATGGACATTCAATTAGCATTCGACTTTGTATAAAAGCGACGTATGAGAGACGGGATGAAACCGGTTAACGAATGGCTGCAAAGTATCGTTGGGACGCATGGATCCTTCGAGGAGTTTCCATGGAAATGGGCCCTAAAAATTCAATATTTTATTACGTCAACATCGTGTGCGTTGCACATCTGCATCTCTGCCGAGTTCCGTGTCCCCGTACGTAGAGCTCATTAGCATACATGTTTTTTAATTGCTTGCTTGAGAGCAGAAAATTCGGACCACCTCGATGGATCCACCCTCCCGTTCCTCGAAACTGCAGTATCTCATTGGTAATTATCGTTTGAAAATTGCTCAAATTTTTCCGAACTCCAGCTGAATTTAATATACCTCGTTAATACGCGCGTTAAGCGCTTCGTAGATCTCCTCTTTTTGTTTCTCTGAAAAACCCGAAAGGTAAGAGTATACCAGCGCGAACCGCGTCGAATTAGCGCAGCGAGATATTTTGGAATAACGCGAGGGAGAATAAAAATCGAATCGAAATACGAGAATATCTCGTTACCAGCGAACCTGCTATGCGATATTTCATCACGAAGGGAAACAGATTTTTGCATTCGAAGTAATGCGGCAATCTTGGGTATCGCGTGTTCCTCTGCTCATAAACAATACTATAAACAATGCAATTCGAAACAAGGCGAGATTTCGCGAAAAAATATCAATGTCTCGTGCACTCGTGTTTCATTAACGATGTTAAAATTATAAAAGCGCGTAATATAGGTCAGCTGCTCGTAATCCCTTTTACATGTAACTTCTGTACCTATTCGGTTCGCGCGGGGGTCAAAGGGGGAGGAAAAAATGAAAAGAAGAAAACAAGTGTCGCAATCACCGAAATGGAAAATCTCACGGATGGACGAAAAGGATATTTCTCTTCGGTTGACTTTGAAATTCTACAAAATTGCTTTCGGGATCATGTGCTCTGATGGAACGCAAACACGCGGACCAGTAGAATGGAGGGTTCGAAAATAGAGGACTTCGAAAATGAAAATCGTGGGACGAAATTTTAGCCAGCGATGAACTCGCCGAATCTACATAAGATTCGAGCCGATTTATCGGATGAAATTCGAATGATTGTCAACGATCATGTCACAGCCAAGTCAAAGTCGCTGGTTAACGTTTCGCCAAAAGGGGTGGGAAGTTATATGCAAAATTATAATTCGGGCATAAACCGAGGGTGAGCTATAATTGCTTCAACATAGACTAAAACTTTTCAAACTACGTTGATTAATTACCAGTTTAATGTAACATTCACCACGGGACGCGACAAATTTTCGCAATGAACGAATTGAACGAAACGAAATGAAACCAGATATATATATATGTAGGATTTCTAGCTAGATTAATCCTATACAGACCGAAATCTGCGCGTCTAATAAACCACAACTCCCTTTGAATAATAAAATAGGTTTATTTAAATAACATATTGTAGAGACTTGGGTGGTGGTAAATAATAGTACTCTATTTATTAATTAATAATAATATGCGTTGACGATAAAGTCTACGAATATAGATAGATCAACTGTTACAACTACAACTACAACTTACAATTACAGCTTGATTCCACAACACAAATACAACTAAACGACTAACAACTTATACTTCTTTCTATGCTACTCCGTTCTACAGACTCCTCAAAAACTGTCCCAACATAACTCTACCTCAGAACTGTACACAATATAATTGTTCGCTTCACGCCCATGCATCCCTATTTAAAACCATACACTCTATCCTCTTTCATGCTCTTTTTCCCAATCACGCTTTCTCTCGCACTCTTTACAGCCTTGCTCTCAGCGGGTCACGTAGCCCAAAGACTTAGACGCATTCTTAGATTAACAGTCTTAATATAAGTTAACTAAATCTGTTACCATCGTATAATTGCAGCAAACCTTCCGTCAAATTGACGGGTTCCGTAAATCTAGTATTAAAGTCTAGTATTTTCTCTTTTCATACACAGGCTTTCTTTCTGGATCACTCGATACAGTTATAGATATCCCGTCAAAACGATCTTCGCGCTGTCGTTTATTCTTCCGCCCGCATCCAAGATGGCGCCCTGAACTCCGGAATCGAACCCGATGTCACTGTTTATTACACTTCGTTTTTCCAAAAGCGGCCCGAACATTCCCATGCATTCACTTAGAACTAAGTAACACTCGCCCCGCTATCGTTCTTAATACTATTTCCTTTGTTAGCATCCTTCACTACTGGCAATAGCACATATATATTTCATAATACTAAACTAAAAAAGTGTAGTTTCGATGTTCTCGTGAACAGGAAATTTTATTAGACTCTAGCCAAATTAATTACTCGACGATCAGTTGTTGAAATTCAGTCGTTCACGAGTTAGAAAACGAATGGATCACTTGCAAGCCAGAGTCCTCGCGAAACCCCTCGCCATCCACGCACAAGATCGATCGTATCGAATCGTCCAATCTCCACCCCTGTGCGCTTGTTCTTCGCAGTGGCGGAGGTTAATTCCGTGGGACCGACTTATCCGTGAGTTAGTACGCTCGACAAATGTTCGGCTTTATTACCTCGAAATCCGGTATCATCCGTCCACCGATAAAATAAGCGCCAATGAAATCACGATTGATCGCAGGTGATCCTTGGCGGAGGCCGGCGCCATTTCGTGCCCAAAGTGATCCAGGACCCCGAGGAGCCGGATAAGGAGGGCAGACGATTGGACGGAAGAAATCTGATCGACGAATGGTCCAGGAACCTTCGGCTGCGGAACGTGGCCGCGAAATACGTCGCTAACAAGGAGCAGTTGGAGAACGTCGATCCACGGAAAGTGAACCATCTGCTGGGTAACGAACGGAAACACGTTTCTATCATTCTATGTTACTGTGTATTGGGGAAAGGGAGAATTTATTAGAGACGAATTTCAGATCTGTTGACATTCTCGGGAAAATACACGCGACTGAGTTTCACGCTACGGATTTAAAGTGTTCGGATATTTGATGGTCTTTCACAGAAAGTGATTTAATTGAAAAATAGTTGGAACTCCATTGTAACACACGAAAGTTCGAGTATTTGATTAATTCGGAATATTGTTTCCAACGTTTGTGTCGTATACGAATTATAAACGAAGGTAATTGGAATTGGAAGAGAAATAGCAAATATAAATACTCAAGGAAGACTCTTCGTTTCGCGGAATTTAATTTTACATGGTTCTTTTCTTTATACTCATTTATTATGAGATTTACTCATAATAGTAAATAGATACTTATTTTTATTAGATTTTTATCGTGTGCAATTTATCTGTGTCGGAATATTTTGTCAGGAATTTGTTCTTATTAATAATTCAGGTACTGTTATTACGAGTCGATCAAAGTGTCCGGATATTTACAAACAGTGGCGTAAAAACAGGTTCTGTAAAGTTTTTAAATTATACACTTAATCAATTGATTAAGTACATAATAAGCTAGACATTTATTGTTTTATTGTAAATTAAAAATTTTTATATTTCCTAGATAATTAACGATAACGAAATAGCGATGCGGAGTATGATTTCTTTTATTTATAATATTTCTTTCGAATATTACTTTGCAACATGGTCGATAAAAATTGTACGATAAACACTGGATAAAATTGAGTCCGGTCGTCTCGGTCTTAACGGAGATAGAATAACACGGATTACGTATTGCGCCCTTAGATAATTATCGATCGTGCACGATTGCATTAATCCTTAAATGCAATTAGCTCTTAGTTAGTCTGCCCTAATTATGATTGGCGTAACGTTTGAATTCGAGATTACACTTGGTGTATCGATCAGAATTGTCGATTCCCTTGACGGCTGTCTAATAAGGAACGCTATTGACTGGCAGTTGATCGCGCGAAAATTCGTCTTATCCTTCAAACGCTCCCATAACTTACATCTTTTCTCGTAACCTCAACAATAATAACGATAACAACTGGAACGTCATTAAGATATCTTAAAACTCTTGATAAGATGCATCGGCACGATCGATAAACTCATCAAGCGTTGCATCAAAGTGCATAGATTTCTCGTTCAAGTATTAGTAATTCCGCACATATGGCATCGGGCGATGTAATTACACAAAGGCGATACAAAGTCTTTGCTCTCAGCTAGATTTATGTTATCGGAACATGATATGACGTCGATAACTTCGCCCTCGATATATCTTTCCATCTGGCAAACACGATGATCGATAGAAACGAATCTTCGTCAGCTATTCGGTGTTCCACAAACGCTATTTCATGCTGTTGGGTGATTTCAGGGCTGTTCTCCTATTCCCACATGGACTTCGACGTGGACCGGAACACGAACGGAAGCGGCGACCCATCGCTGGCCGAAATGACGATCAAGGCGCTCCGAATACTGGCGAAAAATCCCGAAGGATATTTCCTCTTCGTCGAAGGTACGTAGGTTACGTATTAACGATTTATACCTCCAACTTCACCGAGACGTATTATCGTTACACCGTGCTGTTACGGTGGTGTGGTCGCGACCGCGTGTTCGGTGGAAACAAAAAGGAAGGGAACGGAAGTTCCGGTACCCGTGGATGTGTTAAAGTATCATAACCTTTGGAGGTTCGAGAGCAACAAATTGCCTGGAACGAAACGTTTCATGTCGCGAATTTTTTCCCGTTCGGAATTTCTGCTATGTTTTGATTTTCTACTTCCTTTGATGCTGTGGAGACAAACGTAACAGAATATTGGAATTTTTTGGCTAACAAAATGATCGCATTTCTTTTTCCATGGAACTCGGTGAAGTAGGAATGAACAATATTGACATGGTTTGTTTTAATATTTCGAGATTCCGGATATTTCTTTTAATTTCCTTGCACTCTCGTCATCCTGGATATCTTTTATTAGTTTCATATCTTTGTTTACCTCGCAGCATAATGTACTGCACTCTGTTAATTAGGATTTCAATGGTCGAACACAGGAGAACATATGCATGTATGAATACCTATGAATTGTTCAAGATAATTCGAAAATCCAGCCTTCTCAATTTTATCAATTCTTATTACTATCTAAATGTTATTACTTAAATATTTAGAAAAGGTGGACAAGAATTATTTTTACTATGGATGTATTTCATGTATTTCTACAAAGATCCCTGTGAAATGCTTTTGTGGTAGCAGAACGTCCAAATATTTCGGTTTGAATATTAAATTATTCGGATAATGGGACTGTCATATTTTATTTACATTTTCGACATCGTTCGGGCGACCACCATTTTTTGGTATTCTGAATTTTACACGTGAAAGGAGAATATTCTTCGTTACTGGTGAAACCGTTTCATCTTTTACGGTTTTAAAAGCACAGTACTTTTATCGGAAATAAATTAAAATTTTATAATTACATCGGATCTTCAGTTATTATTACGTATAATTAAATTGAATTCGTTCAATGAATTCAATGAAAGTATTCATAAACTGATTAATTAATGCGTTGTACGACTATTCTTGCCGACTAACGAGTTGCAGAGTTTCTTTCTATGTACGGTTCCGTCGTTGCATCCACTTTCCACGATTCGCATGCAAAGGTAAACGCGAAATCGGTTCGCATGCGTCAGGACTTAAAAGTACGTCTCGAAAGTTCGTAACATGTCATTAAAAACTTCTCCTAGGAAACTTTCCGCGCCGTGTAAATTTCCTGAACGAAATTGCTCGTCACATTTTACACTCGACTAGCGAATTAGATAGATCAGAATATCCAATATCTATTAAACTCGAATAAAGCTTACGAATTCCGCGTAAACTTTTTACTCTCGTATTAATAAGCCTGTACTAGGTACTCTCTCTCATATCCTTACTTTACCTTCCTGGTAGAAAGAGCTTCAATATCCGGCCAGGTTATCGTTATTTCATATATTTCTGATCGATACTTTGACAGGAAAAATATTTAGAATTTCATTCTTAAAAGAAGCATAAAAATTTAAAGGTTGACTATAGTTTGTTCAATTATCAAGGTGCAGAGGTAGTATAGAAAATAAACTGACCAGTCTAAAATGAAAATGGGGTCCATGAGTCATAATGGTTAGAAGTTTTATTTCCAATAGAGACCAGGCACACTAAGTACTTTAACCCTTTGCACTCGATGACTTTTTGGTTAAAGAAGAGTAAGAGTTCAAAGATTTTCTGCTATAAAGTTGATGATATTTTTGAAGCAGTAAATAAGAAACCGTATAATAATTAATATTCGATTTCGATATTTCGCACATCATTACATTATCTTAAATTGGACATATTAATTAATATCGATCTTCGAAATTTTATCAAGTGGCGACTGAAGGACGCCTCTCGAGTGCAAATTGTTAATTATCGGAACATTGAGTTTAAATTTCGAAGATTTAGGAATAGTTTTAGATACTTTGTGACAATTTGTTAAAGTCGATCTACCAAAAGATGATCCAAAGACTCGTAGATTTCATTTTCAATGAGTTCTAAGTTAAATTCGCGCCAAGTCTATTTACACAGTAGGGAATTTCGCCGAAAAGCTGGTCAAGATACGAAAACGTCTGATTTGTACAAAAATTGGTATCATCGTTGGTTTCGAATTCGAAGTCAGAACTAAAGAAATACAGATAAAGAAAACAAAATTGTTTATCATATTTCAAAATTTCGCGCGGCGTTTGATGGATTGAGATGTGCATAAACACAGTTTTGCACTTGAAAACTCGACTTTTGGCCAGCTTTTCGACAAAGTCCTCCACTGTGAGTCCCTTCGTTCTTATTTTTCTTCACTTTTGCCGAGGATTCCATAATCTACGCGTGTGTACTGCGTAATTGAAATCCCCCGGTGACGGAATACGATTGAGCTAATACATCCGAGAGTATTCCTTTTGAGAATAGGAAAGGCAAGTTTCCTGGGCGAAGATTGAGTCAGCGCTCTGCGCTTTATTGAGTTTATAGCTTTCCGCCCCCCGGTAACCGGTATGTACATCTCACGTTCTTTCGTCGTCGGGAAAAGCGTTTTCTCGACTCGTACGAAGAGATACACTTCCTTCTTTCCACCTCTACTCCGTTACCCCCGAGAGACCGTTGAATCAGCCATTTTGGTGACCCTGGGCTTCCTCCACGTTCTACGTCCCGTCGTTCGCAGGTGGAATAATAATTGCACCTACTCGCCGATTCTTCATTGCGAGGAAAGCGTAATTTCCATTCGACGGAATCCGGAAATCTATTGGAAACGCGAATAAACGGAGAACGAAATTGGTGGATGAAAATTCGTTGATTTGTACTACTTGCTAACGATGAAATTGGACTCGCAGAGAGTTGGAGAGAAATATTCGTGACTCGTTAAAGACCGAGCGATTTTTGGGTAAAAATGAAAGAGGATGATCGTGCTTCGTTGTTCTAGCCTATCGCTTTCTTTGTTTCCTCTCTTTCATCCGATCGAACTCCGAACGTATAGCCGCGCTTCCAACTTCTATGCATTGTAAACGGATTAGCCCTTTGTGTAAGCAAAACTTTGATTAATTCCCTTGTGCCAACCGATTTCACCTGGTAAATCGTGTCCGAGTCGAGTTTCGTTGTTCCTCGATTGGTATCACATCGCCCAACGATGTCCAGCGTCTCGTAATTTCGTCGTTACGTGCTCCGACGCATTCGATGGGACAGATTGTATCGTCATTCGTGACCGCTTTTTATTTCATTCTTCGTCACCTTCCTCGCTTTTGTTCGTTCATTCGTTCATTTCTCGCAGCGTGTCCGATCGTAAAAGTTGCCCGGGGAAGTTGCGAAATTTCGCGACGAGAGGTGATCGCGAAAATTATTCTCACCTTCGGGGTGTAATAAGTAGCTTCCTCGAAGCAACTATTATGTGTAATTGTCGTGTATACACACTTCATAAGGTAGATTCTATGGCGAAGGCTCTCTTCGACGCTCGACGCTATAAATTCCACGAAAGCCAATTACCGTCACGCTTTGTGCCGTCGCGATTAACACACCTAATAATTTCCATCAATTATTCACCTACCCTATTCCATTCCTTGGTCCTTCAAAGCTAACTAAGTGCCTTGTTTAATCCGTTCCAGGGCGGAGTCTCATAGACAAGTGTCAGGAGTCGGTAGATTTTGAGGGCACGGAGTGCCTTCGTTTATCCCGTATTGTTCTGTCGTCTCGTTATTAATAATGATAATAATCAATGATAATCGTACATAGCCAATCGACGAGCTACATCCATGCAATTAAACCTGGAAATATATTTGCAATAATTATTTTTATACGAAGGAAGCCATTGGTCGAACTCTTCCAAGGACTCCCTCTGACACAATTCTGTGTTTTCAAGGGGACCATTTCTCACTTTCTCTAATTTTTTTCTTAAACCTGCTCTCACCCCTTCGATCACAAGTTTTTCCGCTTAGGATTCTTAACCCCATCGCTTATAAAATATCGCGTGAGACTAGAGGTAAGGGGATTAGACCAAACAAAAATATCACGTGTGAGAGCCGTGGTTTGCAGATACGGCCCATGTAAACATTACAGGTCAGCCCCTGGTTAACTTTCGCCGATCTCTTCCTACGTGTTATTCTTGGCCGCGTTTGCACGTACCATAGGAACTCAAACTTAAACCTGCGCTATTATACTCCGTTCAACGAGAATTGGAAATATAAACAAAACGGTCACGTGATCGATGCTGCAGCGACAGATAAATGGCCTCTGAACGCGAATATTCAGGATCGACTTTTAAACGTCCCGAACAGAGCTCTTGCGTACAAAATTTTCCTCGAAATATTCGATCTCGCGCCGGGGTCAGCCCGGACCCAGGTCTAATGTTTCGGTTCTGATCTGATTGCGCGTCGCTCACGCGCAGCTGCTTGTATTTCCTGTCAATCCTCGTCGAACAGAGTACACACGTATAATCGATTACGTACATTCCTATTCCCCGCAACCTCGGTCAATCGTCAATTTTCATTTCCCAAGCAATTCTCCGTTATCTCATTTCCGTCTAACGTTATGTGCCAGGTAGCGTTCAGAGTGCCAGCCGATATTAATTTCTTCCACGTCACAGGCTCGCACGTGTCAATTTGCTCCAGTAGCGGGTTCACCCGAAGATATAGGTTCCCATAAGCAACATTATCGGTTGAGCGAACACCGCGCGGAGCCGCGAGTCACGACGTCGAAGAAAATCTGCCGCTTGCGAAATACGCGTCGCTGGCGTAATCAGTTCCGGCACGTCGTTCGCCTATCGGGCGACAGCGCAACGCTGGCCGACTATACTTCCTTCGAACTTGGGCCGAAAATTGTCTCCGTTCCCCTAGACGGCAGCCTTGTAATCGACGCCGAAATCCGGTCCCGAAGTTTCCCGTTACAGCGCGACAACTGTTGCTGCTGCTGCGATGGCAGCTGGAGGACGCGACCCCCTCGCGGACGAATTTTGGCACGATACTCCGAGGGTCGCGTCGAAT